CAACAATGTTTTGTGCAGAAAAAAGCTGGCAAAGTTGACTTTATATCTTGTAACTATAGCAGCATTATCAGCATGAATTTTCTTTCATCTCCATCACCACAGCTGCATCTATTTCACTTCAGAAAGCCTAAGAATATAATCACTTTTACAAGGAAAGCAGGACAAGTGAGGAATTCTTAAGCGGGACATTTTCTAATGTTTTTATTTTTAGCCGCTGTTGGGGCGAGGATTGTGGTGATGTAACTGACAGAAGAAATGAATTAACCATTGATTGTGATTAATTACCTCTCAGATTTCAAGCCAGTGAAACTTGGTTTTTATTTGGCACTGACACAAACTAAAACTAATGGCTCTCTGGGCAGAGAGTGAGGGAAAAAAATCCAAGAATGACTTAGAAGTTATGATGTGCTTGAGAAAATAGTCAGCTGTGATGTAAAGCATAATGTTCACTTAATGCCTGAAACGTGCAGAGTTGCCCTTAAATCCCTCTGGTCACCTTTGAAATCTGGACCGACTTTAAAGAATAAAACGTTAAAGAATAATAACTGCTAACAGGTCCAACCTTTGGTGGTGTAGAGCAGAAGCGAAGCATGGCTAGTCGGTCTTGCCAGCTTTTAATAGGAAGAATCTAATTATAGCGACCATCTTAAATGATGCAATGGCTCCTATCTGAAGCAGTCCCCCCTGTGTGTTTTTTCTACTCCTGGCATTGTCCCTCTCGTCTGCAGCATTTTGCAGTGCAGGGTCAGAAACAGCAGCTGCTCATAAGTATTCATTAGTCCCGCTCCTGGATTAGCAGAGGGAAAAATGTGAGTGTGTACCAGGCCCATATACTCACCACGCTGCCTTTGCCTCCTCCAGAACACAGCCGGTCCTCCTCCATCCCTCTGAGCTCTAACCACAGCTGTTCAACACCACTTGACTTTTTCCAGCAACAATGTTCTCAGATGGCTGCGGCCACTTTTGTTCCTGCTAGATGAAACGCCTGGTTGTTTTTTTTTTTTCTTGTGTTTACGATGTCTTTGTGTCTCAGTGGTGTACTCGATGAAAAGTTTGTCTCTCTTGCTGACGAAAAACTGATGACACACGGAGGAAGGGATTGCTTGTTGATGTCGTGCTGGTTGTTATGGTTATTGCCTCAGATTTTGGGTTCTTCTCATCATAGGCTCTGCTTTGATTGTACAGTCTAACAAGACACATATTTAAATCTTGAAGATGTCAGCCTCTTTCCGCGGCTCCACTTTTTAGTGTTCTTGGAACACATGCGGCATGTATCGCTTGCGTTGTGTCTCTGTTCTGGACAGCTGCAGAGACTGCCTATCCCTGAGATCTCCTCTATGCCCACATAACCACCCCCTCCAGTACCATACACTCTGAACTCGTAAGTCACCCTCTATATACCCCCTCCCACCCAAACACTCACACATGTACTCATGTCATCTCCGCCCTGCTGCTTGGACTACTATTCACCCTGTTTCCATACAGTCCCTCTGCTTCCCCCTCCTCCTCCAAAGATCCGCTGTCACTACAGCTGTGTGTCAGTTGTCAGCCCGTTGGAGTCCAACTAAAGATGAAGCTTTAACACAGAGGGTCTGCAGGGAGGAAAGTCTGGCCTCTCTCTAACTCCATCTCAGCTGTCACTCCTTCCAAGCCCTCCACTTATCACATTTTTTTCTTCCTCTTTTTGCACCCCTGGAAGTCATTTTGAACCGCTAAATATGTACAGTAGCTCCTTATATGATAACAATTTAAGTGTCAATGGCTCTGACTTGCAACTATCTGATTGGAAATTAACACCTTTCATTTCTATAGCATAGGAAGACATGTTTTCCTCGTTGCACTGATTATAACACATTTGACACTGGAGTATATGCTGTTTTATCATCAAATAAGCCAGGCTGTCAAGTTTTTTTTTGTTGGTTTTCTTGATTTAATATCTTTCATTTTCCAGTTCCCATCCCACCAAATCATAGACATAAAAGAGGACATCACAAAATTGACTTCTTTCCCCCATCCCACATGTTGTCTCACCAGTATTATTACAAAAACATCTTACATAATAAACACAGGACCTTTTTTTATTAAGCCCACTGTTGTTGTTATGGCCTGAAAGTATTTACAACGATATATAACATGTTATATTGTCCCGAAAATAGTGCTCCCTACATCTGCCACGGCCATTTCTATCAATGGTATTCCAAAATGAATATTAAACAGATTTTGCACTTTATCGTTTACAGGATGTGTACCATAAATGGTAAATGGTAAATGGCATGTACTTATACAGCGCCATTTTTATGTCAGGTAACTAGACCAAAGCGCTTTACACTACATTCATTCACCCATTCACACACACACACTCACACACTGATGGTGGCAAGCTACACTGTAGCCACAGCTGCCCTGGGGCTCACTGACAGAAGCAGGGCTGCCGTACACTGGCGCCACCGGGCCCTCTGACCACCATCAGTAGACAATCTAGGTGAATTGTCTTGCCCAAGGACACAAAGACAATGAAAGTCGGAGCCGGGAAAGGAAAAGATAGACAAATATAAACATGTAAATAAGTCTTAAGCCCCCCTCCCACCAGCTACTAACTTAACTTTCATTTGTTGTGCTCTTATCAACCAATGAAGTTTGATTGCTCATCAAGCAAAGTTTTCCCTCTATGTTGTACTATTATTCCATTCTGATCCCTTCATTGTATATCTAATCTTTACTCATTTAAAATTAGACATTACCTCCCTTATCCTATTAGAAAAAGAAAGTGTTTTCTTTAGTTTAAGTTTTTTTTTTTTTTTTGCTTTTATAAAAACATGATGGCTAGTTTAATTTGTCAGGGTGTTCTCCACCTCCCTTGTAGATGTGTCTCCCCACCAGGCATGCTGTAGTTAATTAATCATGTGAGAAGTTAAGACCTTGAGATACTGGCAAAGGTGAACAAAGTATAGCCTTTTGAGGTTTGCACCTGTTTTGAAACATGTTGACAGCCTTTTAAAAAAAATCTCACTCATTTTGAAAAATCTTTTTATTAAACTCTCAAAGGCCAGTTAGAATTGCTAAAACAAAAACAAAAAAACAAAAACAAAAACAAAAAAACCCCAGAAAACTCTTGACCTGTGCATCCTTATTTTCATTTGGTTTGAGCTTTAATGGTTTTCTGGTTGTAGCTGACTGTTTTTTAGACTAATAGGTATGAGGCGTTTGTAGTTGGTTATCAATATTTTTTATATTTCATTGTTACTTTAGAAAAAAAAAATTTAAACAGGGGAAAGTTCAGTAAACTTCCATTCTGTCAGCAAGCCTAAACAGCTGAATGACAGCTGCAGAAACTGAAACTGAAGTGTTCTTAATGTGTAGGGACTTAAACCTTAAAAAGTGTTATTGTTTTTTCTTTACCCCTTTTACCCTGATTCTTTGTGCTTGTGCATGTATTTAAAAAAATACTCAAATTCTGCAGTTGGAGGCTTATTGAGCTGTAAGAAAAAACTGAAACAAATATTCCAGTTTTGTAATATAATTTATAAACATCATTTTATGAAAGCCGCAGTGTGCTGTTATATATGCTTTTTAGGTTATATCAACAATCAGTTTAACAGAACCAACGTCTCCTCCAAGATCAAACCATGTCACAGAATCGTTAAATATAAATTAGTTTTAGTTCTAAGTCATTATTGAAACCTTTACAAACGGAGGATCAGTTGATGTATTTTTCTTCTTTAATGCTCTGAACTAATAGTTTAAGTAATACTGATACACTTTTAGTGTTAATGTGAAAAATTCTATACTGTGCTCTTCCATAAGCTGCACTAGATTGGAGTACCTCACATAAAAATACATGATTTGCTGTATATTTTTTGCAACGCCTCAAAGGCTTCCCTCTGTTCACTGCCCAGGTTGAACTCATGTCTCCTTTGGAAATGCTAAGTGTTCCTTGATTGGTCATATGGTGCACTGCAGGTAGCTACTGATTTCGCCCCATTTAATACCACTTCCGTTTATACTGAAAAAACATGTTGAATGTTGCTTTTGGAAACACTTTTGTATTCCATGCATAACTGATCCAGTAAATTATGAGTTATTGGAAATATACATTATCTGCAGTGATATTCACAATACCCATTTCAAAGGTCTTAAGAATAATTTCTTAAGACCTTTTTTTTTCCTGTTTTCTTGTTTTCTAAGTTAAAGTGCCTAAATTAGTTTGTTTCTGCCTTGAGGTTTTAGTATGTGATTCTTTGTTCTTTTGCAGCCATGCGTATCTTAGTCTACGGGGAAAGAAAAAATAAGAAACCAAAGGTTTCAGGCAAATCGAGAGAAGAGTCCGATATGAAAGGCAATGATTTGTTTAGAGTTTACTTTGTTGTTTGTACCTTTTAGGACTTGAATGAACCACAGATCTATCGGTTGGGGATTTTTAGTACTCCTCTCGTATTGCTTTATCTGTTTGGTATTCAATGCAAACACAGATCCATTACCAGGTGCTCCAAAAATGCCCCGTACTATTAGGAGGATGTAGGTTGTAAAATAAGTTGCAGAGATGGCTGACGTTTCCAACAAACCATCTGTGAATAAATAAGGATGGTTTGTTTATTCCTTCCTGATTAATAAAGCAGTTTGCACCCTCTTTTAAGGGCAAGAAAGTATTATTGTATCACCGTGTTGTGGTGCCAGAGAGAAAAACAAATTAGTGTGTAAAACAGCTTTTTGTTGTTTGGCTTTGTGCTCGCTCCTAAGGGGGTTGGCCCGTTGCTCTGCTTGAAAATGTGGAGAAACGACTGATTGTGAGGCACACAACGTACTTTTGAGTGAGAGGATATGATTGAGAGAGTTAAGTTATTAATGGTGATGGTGAGCCAGTGAGATCAGCCGCCTCGGGCTAGAGCTGCGTGTGTTCGTGTGTGTGGAAGTGAAAGTTTAAAAAGCCTGGTGATTTGCCTGTATTTGGTGCAGTTTAAGCTGTTAGATCTGTCTCTAAACTTCCTCCTTTTCTCTGACAGGTACGCCTGTGGCCGTCTGTGCGTCTCAGGACATGTAATCAGGTGTGCATCTGCTGTCATGGCCTCCACAACAGCACATCTCCTTCCTGCCACAGTGTTCACCGTTCTGGCAGTGCTGGTCTCATCTGAGGACCATAAATGGCACTTTGATCCAAGTAAGACACCTTTTTAAAGTTTGTCAGTCGGCACGTCTTAAGCTTCTTTTTATTTTCTACAAACCTAGACCTGATTTCTTTTTCAAACCTTCCCTCTCCACCAAACGTCTGTCTGGACCTCTGAAATTCTCCTCGCACTCTCAGATCCATAAGGCTCATTCTCTTCACTATCAACAGGCTATCCTATGTCCTTTCCCTGTCTGCCAACCAGTCGTCAGTAATCGGAGACCGAGATTCGCGGTACCCTCCAGCCCCCCCACCTCCACATACACCCCCGACCCGTCAAGATCGCTAATGCACAGGCACTTTATGAAAGTGCCAGTCAAAGTGTCAGGGAAGGAAGCATCAGAGGAGTCAGGAAATGTGAGCCAACCTGGAGTAACTGGAGACTGTTGCAGACAAACTTCTCACTGCAAAAAAACTAAAACTATAAATCACAGTAAGACTGACGTGGCTGATTAATTTAGAGAGTTGGGAAGAAAAGACCTCAGCACTGAAATATTCTATACTTTTTGATTACAGAAACCAGAGTGGAAAAAAAAGTGTATATCTACTTTACTGGAAAGAAAATGGAACTTTACTGAGAATGACAAAAGAATAAATCACCCAAAACACAAAGTTTTTTTTTTTATTCTGAAAAGAATATTGAAATGACTGGCCATCAAACCTCCAGCTCACACTATAATGAAAAAATCTGATATTTGAATTTCTGACCAACCATCATTGCAATCAGATGTCTTGGTTCATTAAATCAACTTATGCTTTGATGATGAAGCCAAACTGTAACATATGCACACATTCAATCTAGCATTAGCTGTCATAAGCTGATAAACTAGTTAAAAGACATTGGGCTTGTAGTTAGCCAGCCACTTAAAAAAACAATGTTTACATTAAAAGGAAAAGAGGTCCTCTCATTAGATACTTTATTTGTTAAGGCTTTATTCAGAATGGAAGCAATTTAACATGCACAAAGTTGCCAAATGTCTCTACAACAGCGACAGAACCACAGAAGTGTGATTCCTTGCAAAACAAAAACAAAACAAAAAAATTGTCAAGGCTTTATTGCTTTCCATAATTAAGCTACAGACTGTTTCTGCGTTACAGAAGGTAAGAGCTGGAGATTATTAACATTCCTCCAAGTTCTGTGCTGCTCAGCACTTCTGCCCCGTTCTCCTTATACATAAACAGGAAGTTTAATTTGCCCCAATCCAAAAGACACAATCACAGCAAAAGTCTAGATGGACAATGATCCGATTAAGGATCAGCATAAACCAACCCTCTTAAACAGAAGTTTTATTCAGTTTCGTTTTGAATAAGCTCAATCCAATCACAATATTCTGTTCATGTCCATGTAGACATAGCTGTCACTTTTTAAAATGTTGTGGTGCACCATTAGTTTCGATGACCGTCTCTTTTTTTAAATTTTTTTTTGGAGAAGATATTTTAAAACCGCTGCATGTGTCTTTGTAGAAGTACAGCAAACTTCCATCAGTAAACTAACTGGTACTGAGATGCACCAAGTAGAGGAGAGCCATTCATGTTTTCTGCAGACGTTTAGATGAGTACCGTTAATATAATTTTAAATTCAATATGCAATAACTATGGATTTCACTTAAATTCCATCACAGAATAAGGTGATCTAAGAAATACAAAGCTACAGAATGAACATATCACTTCTACTCACCATTATAGTGGGATCATTGGATCTCAGCGCAGGACTCGGGCTACAAGCAGTTTAGCTCAAAATTGATCAGAAGGTGTGTTTGTAGCACAGGGAAACCTGGAGTTATTCCCTACTGTCTCAGGGAATCACAAAAACTCCATAATATCCAGTCAGCTCTGCTTTTACCCCACCCACCACACCTCAGCAAGTATATCGATTTTTCATAAAATACGTGCATTTTCTTCTTGAATTGATCAGGTAAGTAAGTCACTTAGCCAATAAAATAATACTATTTACATTTAAAATGAAAAAAAAAAAAACAGTCTCTTATTTCAAGTAGATAATGTTGAATTATCTTATTTTAAGGGTACAAATACTCATTCCTTTGGCAGATATCTACTTTATCTACTAAAATTAAGTGCAAATACACTTTTTTTAAGAAATGTTTACTCATTTTTAGATTGTTTTTGCTGTGTGCCACTCCAGCTCCTTTAATGCACACAGAATGAAGCAGGCAGTATTGCATTTAATAGCTCATAGATTTATTTGTGTAAATTAGAGCTGCACTCATCAGATTGTTTTGGCTAATTTCCAATCAGTGATTTGTGAAGCTGAACTCCTGTCACTGATTTGAGCTTGCTCTGATTCCCCTTACAGAACTTTTAAATTCAACAATACTTTTTTCACCTTTCTGAATAATGCAAATTGAACTGGCTAAAGAAATATTTACGGCAAAATAAGGATGAAAATAGCATAAATATCATAAAAAGAACAAACTATATGGGGATATCTCTTTCTGCATCACTGCAAATCTACAGATACAGAGTAATATTTGTCTATATTAATCAAGAAGTTTTTGTACAAATTAAATACAACAAAAGAGTAAAAGTATAATTTGCTGCTTCATAAGATAGAATATTCCTTAGCAATTGTTTTCTGTCCCTGTTTTGCACATCAGTAAGGCTGTATCATATCACAAAGTACAATTTTTTTCACAATATCTTTCTGAAAATAAATACCACTAGTAAACAACATGGATAGAAAACCTTCTGATTTGCAGACGCATTGATTCTTAATTAAGTTTATTGTTGGCCTAAAAAAACCTCACTGTCACCATTCTATATTATTTTTGTTAGGACCACAGGTGACATCACAACATGTTTGAGCGACAGAGAGAGAAAAAAGAAGAAAAAGGACAGTTAGCATTAAAAAGCTAAAGAATTTAATGTTTTTTTTCACTTAACAAAAAACATAACTTATGATCAACATCAGCACTTCTTAAGGACAAGATTTATAACAACTCTATTGGAGCCTTTTGTTAACACCTCATGTCTTTATAGCCAGCAGCCCCTTAGGTGTATATGATCTTTAGTTGTAACTGTGGAGGTTTTCTCCACAAAATTTTTTGTTTTTTATGGCGCAATGTGAGATGATTATCTGTGACTTGACTCTCCTAATAGAAATAACTCCCCACAACGTCCCACCTTATTTATGTGAGAATCTGTCACACAGTATGCACCTCCAGGGACTTTTGTGAAAAAAAATTCAACAAATGGCCCTGACTTGCAGATGGGACCATGCCTCCTAGTCCAAAGTGACACCTGATTTATCTTTGGGTAGTTCTTGATGGCTGGCCCATCTCCAGGCCATCTGGCTTTGTGGAGCCCTGTTTTTTTATACCTTGAACAGGAGAATTTTTTCTTTTTAGGAGACTATGTGGAAAATCTGGACCGGATTTATTCTTTAGTTACTGTTTACACTTTAGTTCACAGCAGGAGACTTTCTGCTGGAGATGCAATTTCACAGCTGGAAAAGCAGCACATAGGTCAGCAGAAAAAGGAAAGTGAAGCAACTTTTTCTACCATCATTCTTAATGTCTTGTACACTCAAGCATTATAATATCCCCTGTAGAACAGTATTGACAGAACAAGATATGTTATCAGAATGCAATCCAATTAATTTTATCCGATAAAGTTGTAGTTATATTTCAGTCATAGTGTTGTCCGCAGAGATGATTTGGAAAATGAAAATCTTTATTATTGCGCAGACTTGTCCTCTGATCTTCCCCTGATTTTACTGCACAACTCAAAGACCTCAAGCAAATGCTGCAAAATCTTTTCTCACAATGTGATCAGCTATTTCTTTCTAACAAAATATTCCTGGTGTGTTTTGGTTTTATTTACCAGTGAATAAGCTTCGGAATCCAAAACAACATTTCAGAACCAAAGTATTTAAGGCTAATATCAAATCGAAGATGTTTGATACCATCACACAGAAATACCCAAGTTTCACAGAGTTTAGGTAGCAAAAATAAAAAGGTATAACATGAATTCTTATCATAACGGGAGAAATACAGTTACATGCTACTCCATGGTGATGCTCAAAAACTTTTTCATGCTAAAAGCCCAAATTCCCTCCAGTAAGGTCTAACCTGCAGCGCTTTCTGATTATTTAAGGTACCCATCATTTAAGCACTTGGAGTTTGTGGGGAAAAAAGGTAGTTCTGCAAAAGTACTCTGTTCTGCAATATACTTTTGTATGAACAAAAAATAGGCTGCTGGCAACTGAACAATGTGGAAGCAGTTTAAAGTAATGTTAGGAACCTTATTATATGAAAACTTTTATAATATTAGTGTCCTGTCAAAAAGACTTGCATCACACTAAAGTGCAATGAGACTATAGTGATTGTTGGTTGATGGCTTTTAGCAAGTTGTTTAAAAAAAAACTTGTTGAAGGCAAACATTCAGCAACTAGCTTGCTGGATTTTTATTTAACCAAAGTGTATTTTTTGAGGGGTGTTTTTTCTTTAATAAGTCAGCATTGGATTAAGTAACTGTTGTCTTAGGTTCAAACTTAAGCTATTTATATCACCGGCAGACATGGTAAGGCTGTAAAGCTGAGCGATGAAGGATTCTCCGCTGGTAGTCCTTTGTTTTTTTGCTCATCATTTTTTAGTGAAAAGGAATAGTTGAGGGGAATTCCTCTCCTTCGGCTATGGTAACCCTAAACTGCAGGAATGGTGTCATAATGATTCTTGTTGGTAAAAAAAAAAAACTTAAAATCCTGCTTATGTAACTCAGTGGCACTAAGGTACAAGTTAGAAGTTACTGGATATTAAATAATTAGTAAATAAAATCCCAATAATAACTCCAACTCTCCATTTCACTTTTTGTCGACATTTTGCAAAGTGTGATTAAGCTGCCACTAGAACAGAGTCTGGCCAGACATTTGAAACCAGTCTGTTTTTCTTCTTTGCCCACAGTTTGCTCTTTATAGAGATGTAAATAGATTTGAATCACTAGCTCAGCCCTGTTTGTATTATTATAAAAGATTAAAAGTAGACGTAGAATTAAATATTTTATCTGACAGAAAGTGCTAAACTGAAATTGGTAATATGCCAGAATATTTCCTGCAAGGGTTAAATTCACAGGGACTGAAGGTGAGCTTGGAAGTCACAGAAGTAGACAGAGAAGTGAAAAGACTGCAGATTGCTGGCTGTAGACATTGTGGTGTAATGATGATGGTGATGTAATGAAATGGGCACCTGTCCTCAGGGTGGGGATGAACTGTGCGCGCCCTCTGTCACCCACTGTGCTTTTGGGGGTTTGTCATGGAGCCCAACATTCCTGTTTTGTGACTCAGTGACAGAAAGTGAGTTAGATGCGTTCCCCACACCCTCCTCAGCCAACCCTCTATGTCATTCCCTTCACCCCCCCCCACTCTATGACTGACCAAACACCCTCCGCCTCCTCCCTTTGATGACTTTAGAGCAGATAGCTGTCTGCTAATCTTTGTCTGGGACCATGCTATCTGGATCGTTTGATAAAGCTGCCACTGGATCTGAGTCAGGCCAGACATTTGAAACCAGTCTGTTTTTTTTTTGTTTTTTTTTCCTCTATGCCCTCAGTTTGCTTTTCTTCCTACAAATCTCGGTGTGCCGGTAACTGGAGCCGTACAGGATAGCTGGATCCCTTTGGTTGTTGCTGTGTGTTGGACAGAGATAGCTGGAAAAAACTAAAACATAACAAATATTCGGAGACAGGAAAAGGTAACCTGAGATGTGTTTCCTGTCTCCAAAGGGGGCATAAAACTTCCTAGGTTCCTCATTCATAAATAGAAGTTATGGAAACTAAAGATGCACTGAATATTACAGTTGGCCTCTATTTTAGTAAAGCATAACATGGCAAAATTTATTTTAGCAAACACTAATTTTTCTTATACTATAAAATGTGTTATTTTAAGGGAGTTTAAAATATTTTTTGCCCCCACTTATGTGTTTTTATCCATTAACCAGCTTGTAGCCTTCGATCTGAAAAAACTGTTTTGTCTCTTTGTTGTTTGATCCCGTCATGATTTTAATGTGCTTCTTATGTTTTGTCTTCTTTTCATGTTTTGCATGACTTGAATATTATTTATGTACAGAGCTAATCGACTTTGTCTATGAAAAGGGTTTTTTGTTAACTGTACTTACTTGGTTATGATTAAAATAAGGAGCAGAGTTAATGCCCTCTAGCTGTTTCTAGAGAGCCGTTTGCCTTAGTTTTAAACGGAATTAATGTAATTATAATAAGGAAGACAAAATTATTTAGATCTTACCTCTTCTAATACTGTGCACGATCCTCACTAAAGTGTGTATTTGACATGGTAAAGTACAGTATGGTAAAAAAAGATTTGGTTTTGATTAAGTTTGTGAATCTCTATCCTGATCTGATTTAGCTGAAGCGTGGCTGATACACATCACCATTAGTTTATTTCAAACGTCTTCAGTTTCTCATGTTACCTGATAGCCGTTTCCCACCTTTTTCATTTGGCATCAGTAGGTTTAATGCTGGTATTAGAATATATGTTAACTAACTTTTTTAACCTTGTACGTTATGATTTAATAATTTCAGCTAATTTTAAAGTCTTTGAGTTTTAAAGTTCATCAACACCAACTCACAGCAACCAGTGACTGTGACTCCAATCTCCATTGGTTAAAAATAACTCGCAGAATCTGGGATAAGATGCTGATTTGAGTCTGGAGAGAAAATCTTATAGGAGTAGAAAAGCTTGAACCTGAGTAGGGCTGCGACTAACGATTATTTTGCAAATCGATAAATCTGTAGATTATTTTTTTGATTAATCAATTATTAATTGGATATCAAAAGGCTCCTTTAAAAATACTTTTTATAAAATTAAACTAGGTGAAACTTGTTTGTTGCATGATACTCTATACTCCAGTTAGCGATAAATCGATAGCTTAATTAGTTGACGATTATTTCAATAATCGATTAATCACGATTAATCCGATTAATTGTTTCAGTCCTAAACCTGAGACCAGCTTAGCTCACAGTCACAGCTACCATCTGCTGAGTTTCTCTGCTGAAAGGTTTTAATAAAGTGAAAATGTTTTTTATGGGTTGTGACTTAATTTTATGTTGGAACCCCTCAACACTGCAACAGTTATGGGAATTAAATGTCGACCGTGTTTGTAATGTATTTGGCCAAATACTGTGACTGTTGTGAGTTATTCTGTAACAAACGAGAGCTAAAGTAGCAGCCTCCTACATTTCTCCCTAGACTTATTTTCTGTTTTGGCTCTGAAGCATCGAGCCCTGATGTTTTCCAAGATATGACATAACAACTTTATGCTCTGTGACCAATGATGGCCTCTGACAACTCCAGTGAAAATATTAAGTTTCTTCTGGACAGATGAGAGTTTTGCTCATATCTTTATCTTGTGTCTGTCTTCTCTGCCTTCCTCAATCCTTTCCCTTCCAGCTCAATGTCGTTATGCCCTGGGGATGGAGGATGGCACCATACCAGACTCTGACATCACCGCCTCCAGCGCCTGGTCAGACTCCACAGAGGCCAAACATGGAAGGTGGGAATATGTTTCAGTATGTGTAGAGTTTGAACATTGCAGATAAAATTTAATTTTTTGGATGGATAATTTTCTATTTGCTTAAAGTTTTTGTCTAAAACTTTTTTGTTAAGATAAAGCCAAAACATCAACATCAACGGCTGCAAAGACACAAATACATTGTTGAAATTCTTATTTTTTCCATCTGCTTGACCATGCAATGCTAGTTTTGTCATTAGGATTAGCTGACAAGGGTGGGCCAGGTTGCTGATTAAAGGCTGAGGTGAATTATGGGACCACCCAGGCTGCAAACAGCCATTAAACGCCAGGGATGTAATGGTACATGTATGTTTCCTGAACCATCACGGTGCAGATGGGGCATGTACAGGCAGTCAAATGAGAAATATGTTGGTCACAGGTGATTGCCACTTTCACCAAGACATGTATGCACACAGCAATGTTGTTATTGTTGCTTTTAGAGTAGGTTTAGCTGCTATCTAAAGCACGTCACACTAAACTAATGCAAGACTGGCTGGTAATAATGACACACAGGTGGCTCAGCCTGCCTGTTTGTAATTATTCAAAAGTGCAAAGTTAAAACTAAAGCAGGGAAGTGGTGGTATCTTGAGCCCAATGTTCATTCTAATTTTTTGTTAGACATATTGCCTTTTCAGCTTCTTTTACTTCTAAATTGAGGACATTTACTAAAATAGTTAAATAATTCAAATTTTTTGTTTTATTTTTGACTCAAATTTGCCATAAGTAAAAGTTATTTTTAAATGGTTAAATCGTAAACTTCCATACAGAAGTGCTTGAACACCTTTTTACTTTTGCATGTGTTTTTCATTGACTGACGGTTTACTGACTTCATTATCTATAATGTTATATCATATTATAGAAATTCAAACAGTAAGGCATTGCTGTGAAGTTGAAGCTAAATTATACATGCTTTTTAACATGTGTTTACATATTAACTTCTAAAAAATGCATGTTTTTGCATTTACATTAAGTAAAAGTTTGTGCAACTAACTGCAGTTGAGTAATCTTAATAGTTAACAGAGTCAAAATGTTTATTATTTTGCCTCAGCATGTGGATTCTGTGACCATGAGAGTTCACTCATAGTTTTGACCTGCGCAAGTTATGGATGAATTGCTATTTTGATCGATTGATGATGGAATTTTGGTCTGGTAAACTAAACCATTGCAGAACTAAGTGTGTGTGTGTTCTTTAAGGTAATGTTTGTCCAGCTGCTGTTCTTTCTTTTTTGTTTTCATTATAGAACATTTCCGAAGTTGATTTAATTTCATTCCACATTCTGATTTGTCATTGCATAATATGCAGGCTGCAGGAATTACAATTGTAGTTCTGTGCAACATCAAAGTACATAAGTAGCCAATGATCCAAAACTTATAATAACACTACACTAGATATTTAAAAAAAAAAATTTAAAAGAAAGGGGATGATGCTCTAAAACTTGTAATTTAGAAGGTAATTATGCACATTTGATCAAAGATGTATATATTCCTGACATACAGAGACACAGTTCCTTTCAATTTGGTTTACTTTCCCCCTTTTAAAAGCCTGCTTTTCAAACGGCTCTTTATGCAGAGCATATAATCACTGCTCTGAATAGCTTCACTGGCTGAGACTTGATAGGATGGATTAAATGCTTCGGTACCAGTCCTCTGAATTTGGATTGCTGCCCACATCTGATTGGTGCTGGAAAGCACATTCAGGTGAATGTAAGAGTGTTTTTGAAATTAATTAAAAAGCTTCATTAAAAATCATAAGAGCCATCATTAAACATTAACCACATGCTTTACTTAAAGAATATAAATACTGTCTTTAACTTTCTGTCCCTATAATATGCTGTATGCACAATTCCTAGGTAAATTAGAGAGATTTTGTTTTCTCTGGTTGTTAAAAACAATAATACTGTCAGATGTGTGAAATATAGAGTTGCATATTTGTGTTAAGAATAATATAATTATAAAAACATATTCATAATCAGTACTTTTAATACAGCTTTATGTAATAAGAGGGTTTATACTTGACGTGATAAACACCTACCTGCTTATTAAGTTGGGCTTTGCTTCTCAGGCTACTGCACCTTTTTAATTAGATTAGGTCAGAAAATAAAACTGTTGCTGAAGTCTCAAATCTAAGACTAGAAATGATGTTAATTATAACTCTGCAAAATAAGAGTTATTGGTGATAGTTTTACCAGTTTAAATTAAAACTGTAGATGATCAGATCAGAATGTAAAAAAAAATTAAAAGATGATCTGGCCATCATAGACCAGATTAGATACATGCCTCTGGTAAATTTATAGAAAATCTTAGTTTTTGCCCTTAGTATCTACTTGGATGAATGTATTTACCCAAAAACATACATGCACTTATGTATACACAGGCATAACATGGATAAATCTCCAAACATTTCTGTACACCAATGCACACAAATCTATTGATATGTAAAATCATATGATATTAATATTTTCTGAGGCCATATATCTTCCAAATGTCTGCACCACTTTGATGGAAGGGTTGTGACAGCTCCACTGTGCTGATGTAACTTTAGCTTTCTATCAGATGCCAGCAGGTGAAAAGATGGGTGAAGAAAACTGCAGCACTCATTATCGGTCTGGACTGCCTTTCAGCTGCAAGGATCAGTTATAGAAGTGCTGGAATAATGATGGTTTGAGCTACTAATCATAAAAACCCATCTTATCTCAAGTCACTTTATTTCCATGGTTCACTAACAGCTCAGCCTATCATGTTAAAAGTAAGCACTCTTCCCTTAAGTATCCTTGAAACTATGTACATGCTCAGCATCAGTTATACATTTACATTTAAGATGAATAAAGTTACCTGCTGCTATTTTAGGTACATCTGGTACCAGGTTGATCTGCTGTTCAACCAGTTACAACCTGCTGTGCACCTGATATTGCATCAAACCAATGAGCTCTAACACATAATGTAATATGCCACTCGAAGTAGAAATTAAAAGATGGCTACACTGTGGTCCTTAACAGTTTGAGATGAACTTTGATTACTGTGGTGTTTATATGATGCACAGTTGGAACTAAGGGGCTTTAAGGATGCCAATTAAATTTTAGCACAGCAATATACCACCAGCAGCCTGAACCTTTGATGCAAGGCATGGTTATTGTCTAATTCTAGTGACCCTGTGGCAAATGTAGCTTCAGTTTCAGTCTTTAGCTGACAGTAAAAATTTATCAGTACCCTCATGGTTATTGGGGCCATGCATGACAAGACATTTGTTAATTTTTTTCCTTAGTGGATATTTAGTTCTTGTTGGTTTTTTTTAACCATTTTCTATAATCAGCATTTTCTGAAATACTCAGTCTAGCCTGTGTGGCACCAACTTCCTTAACCTCCAAAGGGAGGCATCCTAATCGGATAAAACAGAAAATCCAAATCATTTTCTCATTGCATAGCTGTTTCTTCACATTTTCTTCCTCTCAATAAAGTGCAGACAAAGCCCCAGTCGGTCTAACCTTCGTCAACCTACTGACACTGGTGAATAAGACCTCGAGATATTTTAAAGAACCGTCAGACTCCAACGATAATTTCACTTTGGATTCAGTTACTGTAATAAAGCTGCCAGAATGAAACGGTCGAATACCGTATTAGAAATCTCAAGGTTTAGGAAATATACAGCACATTTTAGGTTTACCAAATTGTTTTGCATGAACATTAAAATTGGATTATTTGCAGCAGATAGATGAGCCAGTGTTGATAACCAGTAAACACAAGGCAGTGCTTGGAGAACGCATTGGCAGGGTAGTGGAGTACAGACATTGAGGACGAGCCAGTTGGAGCTTTTCAGGTTGGAAAAAAAAAAAATTCCTTCCACACACGAAATACTTTCTGTAAACAGTTTAAACAGGAGGTGGTCTGTGGTGTGAGCAGAGGTCTCAATCTTTATGGGGGTCGATGCTCCATCACATGCATCCACGTTCCATCACATGCTCAGCAAGCAGAGCCCTGAAAGATGGCCAGAAAAAGACCCAATCCTACTCCTCACTTGACTGAGATCCAGTTGAGAACTTGGGCTCTTATAAATAAAAGGTTTAACAAGAAGGAAGCGTGATAAAACACGTTTTATAGTGGAGCAGAATCGGTCAGATTCTGTTAACAAAGTTAATTACAAAGTTAAAGACATGGGGAGGTTAAGTTAGTTAAACTGATTCATTGATGACACCCAACCTAGCTTAACGCACCTTATGTTACTATTATTTTAACAAAATTTGAATGGAGAGAGCTTTTTCACACAGGTTCTCTCTAATTCATTTCTGCTTTATCGCTTCTTCATAACAGCTGCACTCCCATGTGATGATGATTGGGCAAGCCCTGTGTCAGCGAAAAAAATACCCAAAGGCCTGCAGACTAGCATGTATGAACGGGTCATAAATGTGGGTTTTCACATCAGCAATGTAACAAATAAGCTCGATTTGCACTTTTCTTGTGTGTGAATTTTTTTTTGCTAGGTGGTGCAATCAGCCCTCTACGCATTAACAGTATTGGCTGTTGTTATAAGCTACATGCTCACTCTGGGCTTTTACCCAGCAACCTTAATAAAAGTAATAACAGTTCTCATTCATCAGAGGCTAATATCAGGGACATTGCAGGCAGGGGACACGGGACAGGTTATCTAAGATGGGGACTATCTCTGGAAATCTGTGACGTTTGATCACTTTAGTCCTGGAGGCCAAAGCTAATGTTAAAGATGCCTGCTTTCCAAAATCCTTAGACTATTTTAAGAATTTTTAAATCTAGGAGCCATTACACCAACAGTAATTTCTCTGAGTCCAGGAAAACACTGTCTGTAACGCAACTGCCTGATAGAAAAGCTGAGCCCATATTTCTGTGTTATGTTTTTAATAGTCAAATGTATTATTCGATCATAAATGTATTTTTATTAGCTGCAGGAAGAAGTCAATGCATTTAATAGAAACAAAGGCTTAAAATTTTAATTTTGTGTATTTTACTTATACAGTGGAATCTGCTTATAGTAATCATGTTGGTCCAGAGCCAATTTGAACACTATAAGCGGTTGATTACTATATCCGTGACCACTATAAGCGGATTCCACTGTATATTGTTTCACTTGGTTAAGTTAGATACTGGAATTACATTTACAAAAGATGTATTGGATGGGTCTGTATGATGTCTTTAGCATACTGTTATAACAGTCAATGACTCTGACTGGAAATGCTTAGTATGTGCACAAACAGGAACATTATTGCTTGCGGACTATTCTTTTACGAAATAGTAACCAACTTTTCTGTGGTTGATCTCTTTTCCAACACAGTGATACAGCAACATTCATAAGGACTTGTATGACTTCTTTTATTAATAAGTTCATAAGACGTAGAACTCTGCTGTAGTCTGCTTTGGCCTTTGTGACCTGTGATTGGCTTTAGCCTTTGGGTCCAGCTAATGTGGATTTAAACTTTTTGTAAAGTTAGCTACTGCAAATGAGATGTCCCTGTTTTTTAACCTAAAGAACTGATTATGGGATTCCTTAAATTGGAAATAAGTATTTTTTTGTTGCATTGAAAACCGTTACCTTCATTAAAATAAACACTTAAGTTTTTTTT